CCCTCCTCCCTCCCCCTTGAAATAAAAAGAAACAAGCAAGCATTTATCAGGAAGGAGACTGACCTCGATCAAGTTCGCTCAGCAGACAGTGCGCCAGTCGTCCATTAAACGTTTTGTGAATACATGGTGTTTCAACAGGCTCAATCAAAACAAAGTTCAGATGAACAGCATCTCTCAAAACACACTGCCACTGAGCAAAACTTTGTGTTGCTTGCCGATCAAACGACTGAGATAGGGAGATGTATTGTTTCCACGAGCCGTCCTGTAGTTTAATACAACTGCAGAGTATGGCGGTAAGGTGATTCGTCTTCAAAGGTGGCTGTGCGTTGCTCTTGAGAAAACGAAGTGACGCTGCAATTAATTTAAACTTCTCCGGCAACAATCTCATGGAAGGTGTATTTGAATTAAGCGCATTTAGCAAAACCGTTAGTCTGTTTTCAGCATCGAGGCATGGGATAAGACTCACTCGGACCACACCCTCTTGGTAGGGAGTAACATTTGACGGCTTCACCGTCAAACCCTCTCTGTCCCATTCTTCAACCATCGCTACATTTCCTCTCCGGTTGTAAACTTCATCATCGTTTAAAATCCCATAAACAAACCGCCTCAGCTTCTGGGAGCAGTAATTCGCCGACTTTTCCCGACAGTTTTCAACCTGGAATCTGAGCAAGACCTTTCCCGATGTTAAGCCGCTCATACAATTAGTAGAAAACTGTCCTTCGCGGAACTTGCGCAAAAGCCACTCGTCGATTTCTCGGCCGTTTTGGGTTCTGAGAGAACTGCTGATCACGCGTTTTTGGAAATAGCGCAACAAATTCGAGTCTGTGATCGAGTACTCTTGTAGAGAATGCTCAACAGCTTGCCTTAGTTGAATCCCGCCATAAGACGACACCATTTGGAGAACAAATTTGTCAGGTACGGTGGAAAGCATATTTGCGATCCCAGCAAATCTGGCTTCTTTCCTGCTAGAATGATCCATGGAATACTGACTGCGACTAAGGGCATGGATGAACGGTTCCAACGCATCAATGCTGACGTAATCATTGCCCACTAAAGAAGCGAACATAGGCAGCAATTCTGCGTGAATTCTTAAGTGTGACGCCAATTTTCTCCGATGGAAAATTTTGGCTGTTAGGCGACTAGACTTCCAGTCGAAAGAGGAAAGTGGGATGTAGCCTGCTTCGATATCAAAGATAAAGAAATCGCTGTCATTGCTTAATACAGGGCAGTTATAAGCGTTGGCCAAGGAGGCGACTTCAGAATCCGCTTCACTGAAAAGAAACATGAAAATTACAGTAGCTAATTCGTCCTTCATAATCTGGAAGGAGTATGAAGTAACAAAAAGTATGCCTTACATTGCGTGCGCATATGTACGAAATGACAAATTTGAAACTTTTTAGACTTCTGGCGTTATACATCAGTTTGATTTCCGGGTTGTGGTGTTGGGAGTGCAGTTAGCACTAACTGTATGTTAAACTTACTAGTAACTGATGTTTTGTATAATCCCTGGCCCAATGTGACCGGTTTAAGCCGAGAATATTACAAGTGCAGCTCTCCTTACTGAAACAGGGAAAGGCTCTCTTGCAGTCCCGATTCACTTACTACTCATTGACATAAACAAGCTCAAGGAGAAGCGGAAATTGAAGTAAGCCAGTTTCACTCTTTACAAGTCAGCGATCGTTCCTGTAGAAATAGGTATAAGATCGTACACAAAATACTCCTGTTTACTTTCATCAACCTCATTTACACAATCTTTTCACACTATTGTTTGGGTTCGTTGTGCAGTGTTTCCTTGTTGCGTGATAGGGACTGTGTGCAAAAGCGAAACTGAAACAGGAAACCGCCTGCGATAACAAACGGAATTACAAACTTAATTACCATTCATTCATTTACACCGCAAAGCTCAGCATTGTATAGCCCACATTTGAACATCCTTCCTGTATTGGACGCAGGAAAGAAGCGCACTTCGCAGAAAGGACACACACTTCACAGAAAAGACGCCTTGCTTCGCAGAAAGACCAGACAGGACGCAAGCTTCGCAGAGAGGATAATGACTTCGCAGAAAAGACGCTCGCTATTTTGTTGTTCCTACGTTATCATTATCTGTAAAATCTACTTTATTTTACATTGCGTTAAAACTTACCAGTCAGGAACAGCAAATTTTACACCGCGATCCCTGAGCGCTTGCACAAAGACAAGGTTTGACAAAAGCGGCAGAACGAAGACATCACCATCAGTTGATCTATCGTTGCACAGCGCGTCACCAGCTTGGATCCTCTGCACTGATCTTTTCTTGAAAGTGTCTAACTTTTTATCGCTTCGATCATGAGCGCCATCGAGCACTACAAAGGAATCTACACCCCGAGAATCCAGAGCGTCGAAAAACGACAGAACGACTTTGTAAAACTCCTCGTATTGGCCTCCAAATTGACGGTCGAAGCCACTGTCCACGTAAAGGCAGTTACATAAGCCGGGTCCATCAATGACAAGCTTTGTATTTCGAAGCTCAGTTTGTGTCCAAAGACTCCCGATTGAGTTAATGTAACTGGTAAGTCCTCGAACGCCCATCTCTCAAATGACTCAGTTGCACGAAACCGAAACAAAATCGCCTACGCAAGCAACTTCATGCCTACAATTAAATTATAATATGAAGTCAGTCAGGCGTATTAAGCACGCGATATTTTTAGCTTTTTTTTGTTTCCAGTGGAGGTCACAGTCTTAAATTTGCAGTCTAACTTCTCTGGCAATTGTGGGGAGGTGGCCATTGTTGGGAAATTAAAACATGGCCTGCGAAAACAGCCGTCCTTCTTCGCTCCATGCCCCAAGTGGCGCTTCGGAAGAAGCGGCAAACTGAATCTCTCAACTGGGATGAAAATATTTGGGATGAAAATATGTGGTCGCTGTTGAGAGGTGGCCGTTAGAAGAGGTTCGATTTATAGTTCTCAGCCACGTTAATTTTGTTGTTAATCTTAGACTTTTTCAAAATTTGTCGAGTGATAGTCCAGTCGTATTAGCCTTGAAATAAATGTAAAAATTTGGTTTGTTTCTCTGTTTGTTTGTTTTTTGTTTTCATTTGACGACAACTTACACTGAAGTGCAGTGGTCTGTACTGTCATTTTTTTAACCTTGCCGTCTCTGAAATGTTACCTTACGCGGAAAGCTTGACTGGTTTTGGGATTAAATCTTAAAATTCAAGCAAAAATCGCTCGAAGAATTCGAAGAAGGACGCTCAATTTTAACGAGCCCTTAAAACAAAAAGAAGACAAGGTTTTGTAAACAAAGGTGTTTATTGCTAAGATCATTATAGTATCTTTTACTTTTTCAACGGATAAGAATTGTATATGTAAAAGAAACACAAAGTGAAAAATTTAACCACAATACTTTGGACCAACCTCCTTGTACATTCCGAACGCTATTACGTCACCTTTCAGTGGAGGCTCAAAAAGTAGGTTTGTTAAAACTTTATGTTGTGTGACTAAAACTAAAAAAACTAAACTTTGTCTATAAAAAAGAAAAAAAAGGACTACTTTCGTCGTTTGGCAATTTCAGACAGGAAAACAGGTACAGTTTTACATGCTGTTAAATTCTCGTAGACGTTTCGAACAGTTTTCGATCGTCAAACAGTCCAAAAGAAACAAATACCTCGAGTCTTTGGAAGTAAGTCACATGATCCCCATATCGCCAGTAGAATTCGTCCTTCTATTTGGCGACAAGTCCATAGTGATAACTATGTTGGGCGATAACTGGTATTATTAACCTGATCTCGGGTTAGATCTCCGGTAAGTTACGTTTCATTGGCTTAGCTTTGTTGTTCTCCAATGTCACACAAAAGTGAAAAACGATTTTCCAAAGTTTCGTCCGAGGATAATGCCGCATTTGACGTCCCGACTGTTGACCGGGATTTCTCCTTAATAATCTTTTTGCCATCGTGTCTCTCGTTCGTCGCCATCTTTTCTAACAGGTCGCTGGTTACCGCGATTTTAAGTCTGTGGAACAAGCGAAACAGTCCGAAAGAAGGAATCAGCTGCTCTGGTGTACGACCTGAAGAAAAACAAGGGACGAAAGAAAGAAAGACTGGTACTTAAATTTACTCTTGCATTGAAAAGAAAAATAATAAAAACTTAAATTAGGTTGCATGAAGTGAAAAGTGGCCGTGATTTAAATGCCCTTACATGAGGGGCCACCATAGGCTTTTTTATCCCGCATCCCGTCACTATTTTTGGCTCAATCCCCCCATCCCACGCCAGTCAGAATATTTATCTTCATCCCGCCTGGTTAGAGTCACAGTTCTCCGCGAAACGTGTGATTTTCTGTTTTTCATCCCGCATCCCGTCTGCCAATATGAGCAAATCCCGTTCCCACCGAAATATTTTTATCCCGCATCCCGCCATTAAAAGCCTTGTCATCCCGTACCCCTCTTCATTTTTACTCTCAGCTCGCATACCGCCAAACCTAAGTTGGGCCCTCTTACGTGACAAAGAGGCACGAAGGGCTCCTAGCGTAACGAAAACTAGGTCAGGCGCAACTAGAAAATCTTGCGCGTTCGCGATAAAATATTAATGGAATTTCTAGTGACAAGAGCATAAATATGAACATAAAAGTTCGTTGTAAGTCTTTATACCTTGATCCAATCCTTTTCGCAAACTATGCGCCAGTTTTCCATTGAAAGTCTTGTGAATGTAGGGTGTAGGTACGGGCTCAAGCAAAGTTACATTCAGGTGAATGGCATCTCTCAACACACACTGCCACTGAGCAAAACTTTGTGCCGCTCGCAGATCAAACGGCTGAGAAAAACGTTTTCTATTTGTAGGGGTTTCTTTTTGTTCAACCGAATCTGCTTGTAAGTTAACGAAACAGCAGAGTAAAGCGACGAGGTGGTTCATCTCTAACATTGGCTGAGCGTTAGTGAGGAGTAAACGAAGTGACCCTACAATTAATTTGAACTCATCCGGCAAGTACTTGATGTGCGTTGTGTCCACATCGAGCGCAAAAAATAGAAACGTCAAACGTTCTTCGGTATCAAGGTATGGGATGAGGCTCACACTGGGGACCACGCCCTCTTGGTAAGGTACCACATTTGACGGCTTGACCGTCAAACCCTCTCTGTCCCATTCTTGGACCATTGTTAAATTACCCTCCGCTCCGTGAGTAGCAGCATCGTTCAAAATCCCATACACAAACCGCCTCAGCCACAGAGAACAGCGATTTGCCGATATTTCCCGACAATTCTCGACCAAAGTTCCCAGCAAGAATTTGCCCACCGTTAAGCCACTCATACATGTAGAGGCAAAGTATCCATCGCGGAACCTGCGCAAAAGCCACTCGTTGATTTCGTGGCCGTTTTGGGTTCTTAGGGAACTACTGATCACGCCATCCTGGAAATAGCGCAATAAAATCGATTCCGTGATCGTGTATTCCTGAAGAGAATGCTCAACAGCTTGTCTAAGTTGATCTCTGCTCCCTGGCGACGGTACCATTTGTAGGGCGTATTTTAACGTCTCCTCTTCTGTGCTTGAGTCAGGTAGTTCGGAGAGCATGTTAGCGATGGTTGCAAATCTTGCTCCTCTTCTCCCAAAACCGCCCGAAGTCTGAATGCGATTTAGTGCGAGATTGAACGCAGCTAATGTGTCAGAACTCACGTAATCGTTCCCTGCTAAAGAAGCTAGCAGAGGAATCAATTCCGGGCGAATTCGAAAGTGCGATGCCATTTTATTCCGATAGAAAACACTGGCTGTCAAATGATCAGAGTTCCAGTTGAGGAAAGTAAGAGGGATGTAACCTGCTTTGATATCAAAGATGAAGAAGTCACTATCGCTGCTCAGCACGGGACAGTTCCAGGAACGAGCAAGGGAGGCAATTTCCGTGTCGGCTTCACTGATGAGATAAAAAAAAAAACAAGTCGAAGATAACATGTGAACCCAAATTCTGTGTAACATCGACTTCCAAAAGTCGACTTTAGTGTGAAGACTCTCCAGGTTAGGATAAAAATTATAACAAAGGGCAGTTAGTATTGTAAACACATCCCAAAAATAAGCAACAGTCTCTCTCATTTCTCAAGACCACTTCACTTCACTGAAACACTTACATGCAAAAGGCTACTCCATTCTGGTGATCTTCATAAGTTCCATGGTTAGAGAAAAGAAAGTTTTATGTCAATTGGTCAAAAAATACTCACTTGTAACTTCCCAATCAACGACTACAACAAAACGTGACACTTTGAAGTTCCCAGGTTAATTTGTCGGAATCGAGTATAGAAAAGTAGGTACAAATCTCTTTGAATCCGGACCTGTTGATGATATGTCACCCTCTCTAGCTTGACACTCCACGGTTCTATGACTTCCCTTAGACCCCATTCCGTAGACGACCCCAAGTCATGATATTCCCCTTTTCACTCCGTACATTGAACTTCCGTGTTTCATCTCCCTGAGTCTCTGTTGATAAAATCCCTTAAAGGTTTATGTCAAAGACTGCCATAGTTACTGTTAGCAAGCTAGAACTTTTTTTCTATTCTAATCGCTATTTTCGATGATTGTTGTAGCTGTTGGCTTTTCCGGAACAATAAACCCCGTGGGGAGTCCGCCTATCTCCAGTTCTGTCCATCTCGACCCTTGTGAAAGGCTTTCCAAAGTGGACTTTTCCTACGACTATTTTTTATGCTTATCTCTGGAAATCATCATTGATTTTGTCATTACCTACCTATCACAGACCGCAAATTTTACGCCGCGATTCCTCAGTGCCTGTAGAAAAACAAGCTTTGACAAAAGCGGACGTAGAAAGAGCCTGTCGTCTGTAGAGTTTGACAACGCTTTAGAAGTCTTGATCCTCTCCAGAGCTCTTGCCTTGAGCGTTTCCATCTTTTTATCGCTTGGATGGTGCGCCCCATCGAAGATCACATAAGATTCTACACCGTTAGAAATCAGGGCATCGAAAAACGAAAGCACAACGCGATAGAATTCATCGTACTGACCGCCACATCTGCAGTCGAAGCCGTTGTTTACATAAAGGTAGTGAGATAGACATGATCCGTCTATGACAAGTTTTGTGTTTTGAAGGTCGATCGACGTCCAAAGAGTTCCGATTGAGTTAATATAGCCTGTAAGTCCGGGAATCCCCATCAAGCGTGGACATCAACGGCGCCAGCGTCTCCCTCATAACAAAATGTGCGAGGCGTCACATCAGTGAGAAATTTCTTAAGGAGGGGAGGGTCAGATGTTGAATTTCATTTTCTTGGGCATATCTTATATACTCGCCCAAGCGGAAGATTCATGTTGAATTTTATAGCTTGAAAGAAGAAAGAAAGAACTACCTGTATTCAAGATTATCCAGTAAAGCTGAACATTTTCGCAATGCTCATTTGTGATTTTATTCACTGTTACCTTCCCTACCCTTGAGAAAATATTTTAACAAGTGGCGACAGTAAAAGGACAGCGGTTTAGTTGAAAACACATAGTTTCTTCATGTAGTATGAACTGAAGTAGAAGAAAAGACGAGCGAAGGTTCACAAATAAAGCCAGTTCTGAGAATTTTACTCCACGACGTAAATATCCCCAAATGATAACTGCAAAATGACTGACGCAGATGGTTCAAGTGAACCAGTTATCCTGGCTACAGCAGGCTATGATCATGCCATTAAGTTTTGGCAAGCACACAGCGGAATATGTCACCGCACAGTCCAGCATCCTGATTCTGTATCTTTTACAAATGCGAGGTGTTAATTGTGTTGTTTACTTTGTAAATAATGAATATCTCCTCTCTTATTACTGAAAGATGGGTCAAAAAGGGAGCTGTTTGTTTTTTGGTGATTTCTGTGATAATTTTTAAAGTATGCTTGGTTCCGACTTTTGACGTTTTGTTCTGACCCAGCTCTGCCTCTGTCCAGTGGCAACTATCATTGACATGTGTCAGCCATATTCTTGAGTCGTTACTCCGACACACTGGTAACGTATGCACAGGAACTCCTAGTAACCTTGCTATTCATGGGCAAGATTTTTTCTTTGTAACTATGATTGTACGTTATTTGCTTCAAACAGGGAAGAAACGCGAGAAAAGCAAACAACAACATATCATGTTGTTTTGAAAGAAAAAGTCATTCTCACTAGTGCCCACCCCCCTCCCGCTTCTAAATTTCATATTAGCACGGTCAATTAATTTAAAATTGAAATAAATAAAGGATATTACATGGCCGTGTGGGGATACGAAATTTCTGTTCGAGTGTTGAAAAATATTTACTTGGTCAGCTCAGTGAACAAGTGAAATATTTTTCAACATGAAAAGAGAAATTTTGTATCTCCAAGCAGCCATGTAATGTTCTATTATTATATCAACACCAATGAAATAACAAACCATTAAAATTCTGCTGCGAAAGGTGTGATTTATTATGTTACCTTAGCAACGGTGTTCTTTTCTCATATGAAAATAAAATACTATTTTTACTTGTGAAGATGTCATGTTTTTGCAAGAAAGCTTGCCTGGTATTTCATTGTTGTTTATATAATAAATGCCATTGTGTCTTCTCTTACAGTTCTTCAGTCTGTAATTTGAATTTCTTCAACAGCTTTCTTCAAAATATGTTCACTTGCGTACATATATATAATTTTGAAGGAATACAGGCCAGAAAAGCTGACTGAGTTTTTTAATGAGCCTGCTTAGTTTTTTTCTTAGCCCTGACTCTAAGGGGTATTTTTTGAAGGTATCAAAAGCTAAAATTCATACTGACTGTAAAGGAAAGTTTTTAACTAAACTGAAATTTACAGAGGGGTGGGTGGGTTCTGACAAAAAAAATCCTTCCATGGTCGGGCACGAATATTTGCTGGAATGATATGTTATTCTATTGTCTTGTTGTTCTTTTGATTATATTTGCTAGTTACATTCCTTAACTGCTGTCATAGCAAGTCAATGCCATGCAGATTACTCCAGACAGGCAGTTATTGGCAGCTGCAGGTAATTAGTCCAGTGCCATTTATTCTCAGGAAGGACTCAAATCTATTAAATTGCAAAATGACTCAATACTTATCAGGGTTGTCATTAAAGTTTTGAGTCATTT